TATATATATATATATAGACAATTTATAAAATTTTTCTATTTTTGATAATATTTTGAGTTAAACTAAAGCTTAATATATACTTAAATTTTTTCATTGCTTTTCTACGAGTCGCATAAATTTCTAAGAAATATAATCGCTATAAACGGCTTTTATTTTACTAAGAGTAAAGAATAATCTTCCGTTGTACTTCTTGGTTTGGATCTCTCGAAAATTGAAATTTCGCTACTCATTTATTTGAGAAATGATATCGTTTCTCTGAGGAAAGTTCCTGAAAAAAATATCAAACTAAGTGTCACTGACAACAGTGCATGCATCGTCATAAGATTTCTTCTTGTGTTGCCTTTATCATCCCGAAAGAATACACGTATTTTACGGCGGTTTTCCCTACTCCATAAAACGCGTCATCAATTTTTCTTCACTTTTATCTTTCTTTCTTCTTTCTACAGTTGTCCATCTCTTTCTTCTTCTGCATAATCCATTTCATCTCTTGGCAAGTGCGAACATATTACTATCTTCAGTACACGGTCTTATGATTTTCTATCTTGCATTATCTTCAATTTTCTTTTCCTTACGAGACTGCGACTGTATATATAAATGAGTAGAAGAAACGCTAAGATATATAATAATGTCTTTGATAATTTACAATAATTTCTGGAGTTCACGATAATTCGAGACACATTTTTTAAATTCAATTCTACTATTTAATTTTAAATTTTTATGTTCCAAATTCTTTTTATAACGATGAAGAGGACGATTAATTTATATTTTCAAATAAAGGGATTGTTTTTATTTTCCTCAAGTTCTAATGTCTCGATATCTATCATTCAATTTAAAAACCCTTACAGAAATTTTATATCAGCCAATACTGAAGTAATTAATTACCTGTTTTAAATATTGAAAGCTGTTGTTCAGTACTTTTAGTACTTTAAATAATTAATAACTGTCTTTCAGTAATAAATTGGCTAGTATTCAATTGAACAGTATTCGATTTCTATAAGGTTGATAGACATGTTTGTGCCCATTTCGTGTACTATCTCTTTCAGTCTGCCCGCCTTTGTTCGATTTTGCGAACCTTGATGTGTTTCCCGGCCCTTCTCTGCTTATCATCCAACGTCATAGCCCGGCAATGCGCTTATGAAACGTTGATGGAATTACTCCCTTCCCCGTCCCTGCTTTCCCCTTTGCCGAAGCTTCCAAACTGCTTAGGTTTTTCTTTTGCATCTCGCTGCCACGGGAAATTGTAGACATTATCCGTACATTTATATACAGTAGTCCGCTTCTAAGGAATTTAATTTACTCGAATGCTTTATGAATGTTTATGAACGCAGCGATCCTGCTAAAATTATAATAGAGGTACATAATGAACGTATACAAAGCTTAGTAATAAAAAAATTATTGCCTTAAATTCCTCTTAATTCTTACAGAGCTTATGAAGTGCTTGTTTTATCTCTTAAAATTATTAATTAGCGGTACACACTTTGTGGAGCTAATCTTTATTTAATCAATATTTTTTTAATATACACATAATGTAGGAGAGTAAAGCATTAAAATTGGATTTTTTGGTGTGTCATTCATGTGTGATGAGTCATTTTAACGTTGCAATTATATAATGAAAAATTTTGTGTTCCAAATTCATTTAGGACAATAATTTTTGAGGATGTAACCACGACGTGTCAACAATGAACGCTCGGATGATCCGCAACGTCTGTAGTAACCGTATTGCCACAAAGTTTAGCCGATAAACCTTGCTGCAACACCTGTTATACGTACGACAGAGTTACTTGAGCTCGAGGTAGAGATAAGTGGATTAACTTTGCTGTAGCCGATATCGTCGACAGAGTGGCTAATAGTCGATGGTAAACGTCATGTCTGTTAGGGCGTTAAAATATAATCGCGCCTTTCGCGGGCATTGAGTTATCCCTTCGCAAAAATGTCTTGTCGGAACTAAGTAGTTATCTGAGCGTTCTTTACTGAACTTTAATTATATTGAATGTGTCATATTTCAAAATCTTACGTTAAGCAAAAAAATTGAGAAAATTTCAACATAAAAGTATAACAATTTATATTTATCTTGATCAGCTAAAATGACTAAATTCAAAATAAAACAATTTGTCTTTCAAAATTCGATTCGACCAAATTGTTTTAACTCTAAATGTTTTCTATAAAAGATTCTTCTTTTTGCTTATAAAATTATGATCTCTTTAAAAATCTTAAAAACGAATACGACTACTTGACGAACAGATATATGATGAAATTAAATTAGTTTTGATGATAGAATAAACTTTATCAATTTATGATAATAACTAAAAACTTACATTTTTTTAGTCACTTTTTAAGTAAAGGAATGGCATTATTTATAATTTTACCTCAAAATACAACGTCAGCAACAGAAAATTAATATTACTCTGTTGTTCAAGATGATTTTATAAATAAGTATTGATTTTATCATTGAAAATTAATAATTATTTTATATGTTTATTTTATACGTTTATTGATAATTTTATTTAATTATACGATATGTTGCATTCCCTAAGTATTAATTATACTTGTAACATGACATGAAATTTTTGATAGAGAATATCAATCATTCAAATCCGTGTCACGCATTTCAAAATTCAAGTCGTATCTCGAATGTCCTCCGTTTTCCAAGGCCTGTATTCAGGCGATATTCTCAAGAATTCGCGCTGCGCGAAACAGTTTTGCGAGTCATTTAACATTTTCATAAATATCAATCAAATGTCCTTCGATTTAATTCCCAGCGGCTATTTGCTCTCAACGTCATTATTAGTTCGTTAACTGTTTGACGAAATCATCGCTTACGTGTGGTTAAAGTTATTTCGAATATCGTCAAATATCGATCATTATTTCGTGTTTCCGCGCGTAATCTCTCTCTGTCAGATTCCAATTAATTATTAACTCATTTCATATTCCACAAACGAATTTTGCAATGTTAATTTTACAAGATTGATTGATATTGTTACATAATATCGAAACATTTGAAACAATTATATCTCTGCAATGGGAATAAATTTTTTCCAGCACATTTATTTTTTTGTTTTTTTGTACCACAAAAAATTTCTCTCACGAGAGATGTATATTAAAACATTAAATTGTGTTTCGCTACTTTAATCACAAATCTGTTGCATCATTTATGTACTTTGCTTTCTTCAACGCGTAACTCGTAATAATCATTGTAGTAGTCATAAATGAAATATACACTGAAAAATATATCCTAATTAAAGCAACAGAAAGCCTAACAAAAATATTATCGTAACCAAAAATTTTGTCTTTTATCAAAATGTCATTCTTGAATTCTTTTATTGATTTAATCAAAACATTTCTTTCAGTATATAACTTTTGCAACGTGTCATGATCTATGTTTTAACTATATTTGTCTCTATAAATTCAATTCTCTATAAATTCAGTCTCTCTTCCAATTTTCACAAAGTGTCAAATTCTTAGTAAAAAGAAGAGAAAAACAATTTACTTGATCACTATGCTCCTCGCAATTTTCGAATTACGTGCATGCTACTACGGTAGATGGTGAAGGTTTTGGGGGCGGAGTTACTGCCCGGACATGGTCCTTTTGACCGTTGATTGCAGCGGATGCGGGAGAACGAGGCGACCCTGGGACGTCTTCAGCAGCAAGGAGCCGGCATGCCTTCGGAGGAACGCGAACGGGAAAGGGAGAGGGAACGCTGGAGTCTTCTAAGGGCAGCGAGAGACGAGGCCGATCGAAGTCTCAGCCTCGCGGCTAGTTTGGCCGACAAAGAAGCAGCCCTTTCGCACGCACACGCGACCATAAAAGAGGTGAGTTTCTTGTGTCGAACATACGTGTTATTTTGTATTTAAATGAGTTTAAAATCGATGGAGTTTGTTTCAGTCATTTCCAAGAAATTCAGCAAAATCGAATCGCTACATATATGTGATTACAAATTAAAAATTATAAAGAGAAAAATTAATTTTTCGCGATTTAAAAGATATCGCTGCGTTAATAGAAAAACGGCATATAAAAGGAATAGCAATTTTTCAGTAGAATATTTTTATAAAATCCTGAATTGAAACGTTTAACTAATGTAGTAAATATACAATTTTTACATGAAAAAAAATGCTCCAAAAAGCATTTAATATTCTAGCAGCCACTTTAAACTTTTTATATAATTGTTTTGATAGTCCAAATAAAATTATTTTCAGATCTGTAACTAAATTTTTAGATACTTCAACAAAACTGTCTTTCCCATGTATGTATATTCTTATATATATTTTTGCATGAATCGCGAAGAACTGTCTTTCTAAAAATATAATGTACATAAAGAATTTATTTCAATATATAATTAGATAATTAAATTAATCAAGATCAAAGACACAAAATAAATAATTATTTTATAACAATTTAAAAAATATTTCTAACAATTCTAAGTTTTGATATCAATTATATCTATATTTCAATGGAATCAAGATAACAATTCAGATAACTCTTTAATATATATATCTATAGCCAAAATATGATTTCTGCAGCAATTTTCTTTGCTCAGCGATATTTCCAGATTTCTTGTTGACACAGACTGTTATAACGGCCAACGTCTTAAAGTATATCTCTGTATCGTTGCAGCTGCAACGTCAGCTGACAGAACGCGGAGGTGGCGGTGGCGGAGTTTGTTTGAGCGATCAAGAGTCCCTGGTATCATTTCCGCGAGGCAGCGTGAACGGTGCTGCGACGCCTGGAGCCGGCAGCAGCAGCGGCGGCGGCGGTGGCGGTGGCGGTAGCTGTGGCATTATTCCTCATATGAATTCCCAGCCACCCTTGGGCACCGAGCTCGGCATGTCCGTGGGTAACGTAGGTGGCGGACCGGGTGTAGGAGGATCCTCCGGCGGCCAGGCCGGCGATCGTGGCAGCTGCAGCGCAGACAGCGGCGTCCGCGGATCCAGCGATCGCGAGAGTGGTGGTGCAACCAGCGTCGGTGGAAATCTCTCGGATTCTACGACGGATGGTGAGAATCACTTTGGTAGCAATTAGACCTGTTCTTTTTTTAGTTACACCGAGCGCAATATCCATGAAATTATACTGTGAGATATAATCCTCTGATGGGGAAAAGAGAGAAGAAAAGAATTGTACAGGAAAGTGCAAGAAATGAAGAAAGGTACAAAAAAAATGTATCTCGTAAAGAGAACTTCGTGCCAAATCCTCTTTCTCTTTTGCGATGATATAAGGTTGCTTTAGCTAATCTTTTCACAAGCGTCTCTTTATACAGTTTACATACACGTTTCTATATACAGTCTTTTAAGTATATCAAATTGTGTAACGTGTAAACTGAATTTGATTGCTGAATTAAAATGAAAATTAATGTGGCGTCAATGCATAACAGTCGATATCATAAACTCAACTTATTGTATTTTTAATCTTAAATATAGATTTCTTATATCTATAAACTTTTATATACAATTTATATACAATTTATACAATTTTTTCAATTTTAATTAATGAATATGACGCTTGTTTCGCTGTAAAAGTATCATGACAAATAGTAAAGATAGTAAAGTTAGAAACACATAAGAAAATTAAGCCATAAGACTTAAGCAGTAAACGAATTACCCAATCACAGTAGAGAATGTAAAATAGTTCTCTATTTTGATTGGCCGATTTGCTTACTGTTTACGTTTTACTGCTTTACATTTTTTAATATGTTTCTGGCTTAACACTGATTCTATAGCAGAATTCGTCATTAACAGTATTACGACAATGAACATCTTTGGACGAGGAACATTTTTGAGGAGCGTTTATCTGAAATTACTATTAATCACAATCGGAGTGACACCCGCTCAGGAGATAATGACTCCGACGTTTAGTTGCAACGAACCCCAAGATTAATCGTCTAGTCAGAAGGGATTGCCAGTGCACATCCGGCTAAGTACCAGTTTGAAAAATAGTTGAACCGGCATCCATCAGTCGCGAATGTTAATCGAACGTAGGTGGTAGAGGTCTAATCGAGCACAGGCTTTCTTCATGTATTATTCAGCTTATCGTCGTGCCGTTGCATCAAAACGGTTTGATCGATTGGATTTCCAGCAAACATTCGCGGTCACCATAGACGGTTTGAGATTTGCACGTGCATGATTTTCAGCGCGAAAGATGCACTTTGGAATACGCAGAAACGTTCGAATCTCAGGATTATCTGAATTCTTGCTAAGTTACATTAACAAGTTAAACATTTACCCGAGATATTACCGTCCTATCTTTTAACGTTCTTAACGAGAGAAACTGCTTTTAACGAAAAGATTTTGATAATGTAATTACGACAACATATTTACATATATAATTATCATTAATTGATTCATGAATATTATTGATTAAATCAGGTACGGTAGTTAATGAGGAATTAATTTATGAACCACACAATAATCTTACGTAAATCGACAATAAGCTCTTTTAAATTTGTCACAACTATGATAATAATGGCGAATTAAAAGTCAATTAGCCAGTCAAACATTATCCCGAGCGTTAAAGTTATCAATTAAAACTTTCTCTATTAGAAATTTTTGCTAATGCCCGCGTCCATTATGCCATGCAAAAAGTCAAGCGTCAAATTACTTTGCCACTTTCTAACATCGCGACATGTTTGCCTCTCCGTGTTCCACTTTCGATGGCGAACAGTGGGCATTATCTTTGTCGTCGTCATAAAGGCACCGCGACATAAAGAACACAAGCTCGTCAATAGCGACCTCGAGGGAAGCTCGTTTCTTGACAGCTCCAGCACAATGTAACGGGCCCACCGATACCTCTACCCGCACTTCCTCCCTTTACTGTAAAATTGATGTCCTTTATATATATTTCCGCGCAGGCACGCCGACAATTACGGTCGAGGGCAGCGGTCTCGACATGGACAGCATCTCCGTGGTATCCTCCGTAGCACCACCCCACATATACCAATGTAAGTGTCCAAGAACATAAATCACTGATCGTCGTCACTTCCCTTGTCACTCAGCGCTCTCTCCTGCCACCCTTGTCCTACCGTAATCCGAAGCGCCTCTGCTGCTTCTCAATGTATACGACTTTTTCTCTTTTCCTCTGACCAATATCGATTTTCTTTCATCAGCGAAGAGTGGCTGAACTAGTGGCCGATCGCGAACGCGTCGAAATACATAGGATTGCAATTATAATAATTTTTTAACTTATAGATAATTACGAGTCACCTTAAAATATTTGTAAAATAACCGAGAATCCATTGATATTTTTTCTTTGCAAATCTCTAAAGCTCTTTAAAATCACAATAATCTGAAAAAACGAACGGCACGGTCGCTATCATATTCTGGTCACTCTGTAGTTATTTATCTCTTGGTGTGCGTGCGTGCGTGCGTGCGTGCGTGCGTGTGTGTGTGTGTGTGTGTGTATGTGTGTGTGTGTGTGAACATGCGTCTTAATATGGTGGCCGAAAGGGATCGAGAGCGCTCATCGAATAAATCATCGTTTTTCTCGGTGCGCGAAAGCCTAACTGATGCCGAAGGCTCTCAAGGATGTCTTCGATACAAGTCCTGCCTGCTGCTGTAGCCTGAATGCATGCGCATGTACATACCGTAAACCTGATGGAGATGACAAGAACGAGCTATGCCCACGAAAAGGACTTTTTGCACGCGAGCAGAATCGCTGCACGACGCGCTGTGTGTTCTTTATGTGACTTGCATCGATTATCATTCGCTGTGTTATGGAACAGGATATAACGCTTGACGAAAAAAACCACACATGAAACGCGATTTTCATGTGCATAAAAAAAAAATAGCGACATCCGAAGAAACGTGAATGAATAATTAATAACTTGTCGATAGCCCGATTTGACTTGCCGTGACATCCTGCCGTGTCCAATTATTAACAAATTATCATTCACGTTCTTTCTTTGTCATACGTTTGTTTTAACATGACAAAAATATTGTTTCGTGCCTGAGTAATATTTGCGTGACATGCAATCGTTGAATAACTCATTGTTCATCGACGGTTTTCCATTTAACACATCGGGCTTACATCCTTTACGCAATCTCATATTTCATTACATTTTGAATTATTTCTATCGCTCTTCCTATTCTCATATCGAGTTGCTCGAGAGCGTTACGGAAATCGACGATACACCGACACGTATGTTCTTCCATTTATAGCTGCGACTACACCGAAGGACTGCAGCCCCACACTCTCGCCGTTGAACGCATTTTCAAGGTCTATGGACAATTCCTCGCTATCGCGATCAGTCGAGCAGCTATCCAGCCCACTGGAATCCGAACCGAGGAGGAACAAGCAGCCACCACCTGTCGTTGCACCTGCCGCTCATTCGCGATCGTCCGCCACTCGCGGCGGCACATGGGGATCCATTTCAAGGTAAGGAACTCGTTCCGTTACATTCAACGTTTTGCATAATACGAATCGCAAATTATGCCATAAATTCAGTTTCGAAGAAACAATTATTTCTTATGCAATTATTTTTTCTTCTCTGCATATTATCCTCGGTCATATCAATTACACATTAATTGAGTGAAGTATTGATTATTTAACCTTTTGCACAAACATTTATTGACAATTATCATCAGAGCAATGAATGATACATTTTATACATGAATATGAATTTTGTCGCGGCAAATAATTTATGCGTAACATATATAATATAATACGGACGGTCACAAATAATATAGCTTCGACATAAATAAAAAGCATTGGAAAGACAAGAAGACTTCATGAACCGTACAGCAATTTATGCAATTCATTCACACGCTGTTGAATGGTCTTATAAAGTGCAGATGGCTTGTTCGCATTGATTTTACAATCTCACGCGCTTGCACATAAGTATAACATCGATGTACTCCCCTCTTCGTCGAGGGGGTACATTTTTGTACTTTGTGATGATTCTTAGTATTACTTCAGCGAAGTGTGTGATTACCACGCAAGTCTTACATCGTAACAATGTACAAACGAGCGAAATGAGTTCATAACACGATAGAAGGGAAATTGCAACTTTACGACAATGGTTACCGAGTAGAAGTGATGCGAATCTTCGCATCCGTGTAGAAATGAACTTGTAAAAGAGACTATCATGTGAAGTAATAGTCTTCCTAAGTAAGATGACCCTTTTTTTCTATATAAAAAAGCGTATCGATTTTTCTATCATATTCACTTGAATATTACAGCCGATGAGAAACATTATGTCGATGAGAAATATCTATATCCATGATGTGCTTTTACCTAAATAATAGTTGGTGTCGAATAGCTGTTTAGCTGTAGAATATTGCACAGAGATTGTAATCTTGTAATTTCTCCTCCATTATCACATCGAATATGAGACAATACACAGATTTAGATTTATCTAATTGAGAAATCTAATTTCTCATTTTACGTAAAGAATGATTTTGCTGTAGTCTGAGAGATCTAAAAGATCTTTAGATAGATATACAGATCAGACAATAATTTTATTGGATTATCAAAATAATTATTAACAAAATTATTTTCAGACCTCTGTATTTAATTAAAGTTTTACATATTTCAACAAAATCGTTCTTTTCATGTAAGTATAATATCAATATTTTTAATTATATTATCAATAATAGGACGTACAAATAAAAAAAGATAAAATGTATTTCTGCGGTCAAATATCATGCATCAATGCGAATGGATCGGTGTTCTTCCTTTTGGCAGAGTATTCGCCCGTTCGCGACATCGGAAAACGGCAAACAGTTCCAGTGGTGGCAGCGGTGGTAACGAGGGCTCAGATGGTTTTGATCCATATCGATCGTGGTCACCGCTCACCGAGGAGGGTTACGCCGAGAAACTTCGTTTACTGCGAGAAGCAGCCTCTGTGCCCATGGAGCGATGGAGAGCCCCGACCGTTTTAGCCTGGTTAGAGGTGGCTCTCGGGATGCCACAGTATGGTCCACGATGTGCTGAAAATGTCAAATCGGGCAAGGTAAAGGATTTGTCATCTGCTTTCATTAGCGAGCTTTAAGCTAGTTTAACCTATTGATATGATTGTAAAAATTTTTTTATTATTATATTTGATTTAATTATGACTGATCTTATTCAGAGACAGAAACTAATTAGATAATATCATATTTTTTTCAGATTATTCTTCAAATTATTAAAATACTAATTTTGCAATTAATTGTCGAAATATAAATACAAACTATTAATGCTGTAAAATCATAATTTTTAATACCCGGATAATAGTCTGAAGAAATCATCGATATAATGTACTGTTAATTAGTTTTGTAACCATATGCGAAGTCTTCTTTTTAATTTTTATATTTTGATAACAATTTACAGAATCGTTTCTGATTAAAAATATCATCTTGTCGATGATTTAAGTTTTTATTAATGCGATACTAATTTTAGGTTCTACTTGAATTAAATGACGCTGAACTGGAGGCTGGTTTAGGCGTAACTCATCCGCTTCATCGAAAAAAACTGCGTTTAGCTATCGAGGAACATCGACACCCAAGTCATGTACGATATCCATGTATCGCCCAGTTAGGTCATACTTGGGTGAGCTCCGAATGGTTGCCAGATCTCGGCTTGGCCCAATATTCAGAGAGTTTCGCTACTAATATGGTGGACGCACGTATGTTGGACCAACTGAGCAAGAAGGAGCTTGAGAAACTGCTCGGAGTCACGAGGAAATTTCACCAGGCTAGCATTGTTCATGGTATTCACTTGCTGCGGATGCTAAACTACGATCGACAAGTAAGTGAATTTTTGTCAAAATATTACAATGTTATAAAATATTGCTGAATTCAGAGACTTGTAAATAAATGGTGATTAATCTTCTAAAGTTCTTTATGATTAATTAAACGATGTATAATTGCGGTAAATCAAAGAGATGACGTCATGCTTTTGTGTTAGGCTCTCGCTGTCAGGAGACATCAATGTGAACAGGTCGACACAGATCCTTTGGTCTGGACGAATCAAAGGTTCATTCGGTGGGCAAGGAATATCGATCTCACGGAATATGCCGAGAATTTGAAAGGTGAATTGTATTTCGGCGAAATCAATTACGTATCTTTAAAATAAAAAATTTTGCCAACTCTAATCTTTTATATATTATATATAATAATTGATTACAGTTAACAAAATTGTAATATATAAATTTGCTATAGAAACGTAAAAATATTTTCTTTATGTACACATTCCTTTTGTTTTTATTAAGTTTTTTAACAAATATCGTGATTGCAGCATAGCACATCTCTTTTTTCGAAATAAAAATACACAGAATATGGAAACTAAAAAAAAACTGACGATCTTTCACCTTTAAACTCTGTAACATTCACACGAACTGTCAGTATCATCTACCTATAACAAGCACAAAAATTCTTCCACAGATTCCGGTGTGCACGGTGCTCTGGTTGTATTGGAACCGTCATTTACCGGTGATACTATGGCCACCGCCTTGGGTATACCTCCAGCGAAGCACATGATTAGACGACATCTTACCGCCGAATTAGAAGCGCTTGTTCTACCAGCAAGGTATTCAGTCTACTGTCATCCAGAGGCGACACTGGACAACGCTCACTAATCGGCATGACGTCGTCGTTGTTCTCATCGTCATCGAGACAGGATGACGTCTCCGGAACACTAATTGGCACCTACGAAACCGCGTTCGAACATTCCTCGTCTCGAAGGAATCTCCTTATAGCACCTCGGGAATTCGATCATCAATTTTGAGATCCTCGAAGTTACTCAAACTTGCATTAAACTTTCTCCACGCTTTGTACGTCACAGAAGACGCATACCTCTTGTCGAGTCATGCAGTAAAACGAACATTCCTTTTAAGCTTATAGAGTAGCAGTAGAAGATATTGTCATAATGTAGGGTAACTACTTTACGAAATCAAAGGAACTTATTAAGCCAGTATTAGAATATCACTTACTGTCAAACTTTTTGGTGTGAAAGATTCATTCCTTTAGGAAGTAAAGAATACGGAAAGAACAATTTTACTGAAATAATCTCTCTAAACATTCAGATAAATACGGATCTAAAAATAATTTTATTGGATTAACAATATAGTTATGTAACAGATTCAAACATGATAAGTAATTCTGCAAAAAATTGCAACATTTAGCAGCTTGAGTATTTTACATAATTCTTTCAATAATCCAATAAAATTTATTTGGATCTTTTGAAATCTAACTACTTAATTAACTTTTTGAATCTAATAAAATTTTTAGATACTTTAGCAAAACATTTTTTCCATATTAGAATGTTATTCATTGCCACTTTTGTCATGCATTAATCAGAAAAAAAAATAAGAAGGCGCTCAATTCTTTGATCAATCGCTTCGATGATCTCGATAGATGAAAGAAAATAAAACGGAATTGAGTTTTTTTATGTTCGTCGCATAAAAACGCTTTTAGGAGATTCCTTTTCAAGACAGGAATATAACATAATGAAGGATGAAATCGTGCCGGTTCGTTTCCCCGATCGATTCGTGCCACATGTCGACCGAAGTCGACGTATTCTCGAAGCAGCAGGTGCAAGTTGTAAAGCAACGAACGACACGTCACTCCGCGTCCAAACCACGTGCAATAGCCAAAGTTAAAATCGTTGGACGTGCGTCTCGATCGCGATCTCAGTTTTGACCGAGGCAGAGATTTTCGCTGGAGCATCAAAGAACATCAGTCAATTATTTATTTACAGGAATATGTCGCGCGTGGACAAGTAATCGGGAGTGCTTTTTCACTTTCTCGGCAGAAAAAGTGTTTTCGAGAAACTTTCGCGCGGAAATTGCGGAAACGAAAAATTGCTGGAAAATTTCAGCAAACCTCGTTTGGCGAAGCTGCGTGTTCGTCGCTTATTTATCACGTGCGATCGATACTCGCGTTTCGCATCGTAAAATAGCATTAGCTCGGAAAAAAAGAGAGAAAAAATTGTTACTGTATAGTCGCCGTTAATCAATAGGCAGTTACTTTTCCAGAATTTCTACGAGTAAAGTTAGTTATATCGTGTAAGAGACATATCCGTGAACTTCCGCAAAAAGCTTTCGTAACCGACAGAACGTAATTTAAACGTATTACTAAGGAATTTCGAGAGCTGTAAATATTTCGGAAACCGATTTGAAAATGAAGGATATGAAGGGAGTACACGCACGCGCGATTTTTATTTGAATTTTATACTTTCCTGAAACATGCGGATAATTAATCGCGAATTTAACTTGGCCAGACTCATTTCAACTTTTACAGTACCTGTAAAAGTTCTCATTGACGTTAAGTGGACATCAAGCAGCGCTAAAAATTACTAATGGCTCTCAATGAATTGCCTTTATCAAGTAAAGCGTCATATAATCGAAATTGAATTGAAATGTGAACTCCCTTAATATTGAGCTTTAGGTAGAGCAAAAGCGCGCTCGCTCAACGATCTTCAATCGCGATTGATCGTTGTCGAACGCGCGTAAAAAAAATACTCGTAGTCTTACAATACACATGCCATACCTGGATATATCGGGCATACACACACGTAAATACAATATACAGTTACAATCGACATATATATAAAATGTACATATACAAACATACGCGATTACCCAGTGGAACGTGCCAGAGTACTTCGTCGGAGTACTCGGCACAGAATTGCAGCGCGCGATTCGCTGGGTCTGCAGTCCACTCGATCGCGGATCCACCGGTAATGTTTCTCATAGCTGAGCCGTAGCCCACAGCTGCCGCCTGCACTGCACTGCGCTATGTACAGCACATGTTAATCTTAGTGATCGTGGTGTAATCCTTGGTCAGACATCTTGCCCAGCACTATCTTCTACACCCCCCGAAAAACTTTCCGAAAGGAGAAAGCGCCTTTCATTATTTAAACAATTCTTAAGTAAGACTTTTAATATATTTCTGATTAAATAAATCATATTACCGATTATACTCTTTTCTTATTAAGAATGTATAAGAATCTTTTTGTCTTTTCCCCCTGCCCCCTTGCCGTCTTATAGACGTGACTTTCCGAATGTTTCTCTGGCCAGGAATCACACCACATTTGCATTATGATTCCTTTTATCTTTTTCTAATTTTGCCAACTTTAATATTTACATATATATCTTTGATTGTTCGATGTTTACTCTCGTTGACTGGTTAGCGTGGCTGAAAATACGTCTCGGTTGGTTCTACTCTAGGTGATCATCCTTGGCGTATTTGACAGTCCAGTAAACATACATTACTCTATATCGGTGGTGCACAAAATGCTTGTGTATGTATATTTATGTTGTAACTAGATATTCATTATAAGATAGATCTCGTTCTATCATCAGACACTTACAGCGAGCTACTGTTAATATTTATCAATGCAATCATTAGAATCAAAAATATTCACAGAACAATAAATAAACAATAAAACAAAGTACGAGTTAATTACAGTTGATTATTAAATGTATTTTCTGAAATTTTACAAAGATTTTCATAAGGATTAAATAAAAATTTTGCAAAAAGAGATATATATTCAGAGGGTGGTTCGCTGTAATACGTCACACGTGTGTGTGTGTCCGAGGTATGTGCATATTAGGCGATCAAGGACGCCAAGATGTACGCAAGAAGGCGTGCATGAAAAGGATGGTGTGCGTGTGTGCGTAGAAGTCAGCTGGAGGTGGTTCCGAGGAACAGCATCGGCGGGAGTGGCCGTCCGATGAGCACCGCGAGCACGGGGGGTAGTCTTGGTCGAGGAAGCAGGGCGCTGCATCTCCAGCATCATCAGAGTTCGTTATCCGCCCTTCACATGACGGCGAATCACACCGGCACCGTCGACAGACGCAGATCCAGCCTCAGGGTAACGTACCGTTTAGATTCAGCGAGGGTCTGGTTCGCGTACAAGCGCGCCAGGAACTCGATGCCGCTCCCCGCCTCGCCTCTGCATTTTCTTTAACTCTTTCGAACGAGGAGTTCGAGTCATTAATTTGGCCTAATCGTTACCGAGGTAATCATTTTCAAACGTTACCTTTTATGGTAAGGTGCTCAAATTTCAAAGCTCGACAAATCGAGCTTGCATATCTATGTTTGCTTTTTCTTTCATAAAAATACATAAATTGTTATATTATAATTATTATATATATTATATATTAGATTAAATTATGTGATGCGATTGGACTTAATCGTAATTAATCGTGATTCTTGTAATTTAATTGTTTTTATTTGGCTTGGAAAGAGATAAGGATAGTGCGAGATATGTCTTTTAGAGACTTATCTCTTGGCGAGTTGCTTTTTAAAGCCTATGCTTGTTTTTATCATGATCATTGCATTGTAGAAAATTTGATATTTAGAAAAATGATGTGATATTTTTAATATTTATCTTATTAGAATTACATAAATGAATAAAATTTCTTTTTCCTTTCATCCAATCTTTATGAGAAGAATTGGGAACGGTATAAAATGTAATCTAATTTGCGTTGCAAAATAATATAAATATTAAAATTATTTAATATTTATTTAGCTCATGCCAATAATATATTAATAATCAATATCTTAATAACCATTAAGAAATATTCATTATTATTTTCTGCTGTATTGCTTTCTCGACAGTTAATTAGGTAAATTAATATAGGTCATACCGGCAATCTTTTATACAGCACAGATAAACTTGAAAAATGCAAAAACTCATTAGGATTAATTCATTATTAATTCATTTTAAACGCAAACGCCATTTATTGTGCAGTCATTTACTCCCGTTCCACGCGCACTTTCATGTATCTCATCTGTGCGACTATTAGTTCTTTATTTTTATTAATTATTGGCACGACTGCATGGCATCGCTTAAGAAAGCTCGCATAACATTCTACAGCGAAATATTTCCCCCTAATATTATTAATTCTCGTCGAAAAAGAAACAAATAACCGTTTTAAATTGTGGGTAATAATGATTTTTAAATTGCTTTAGAATTTCTTAACTTTTTATTTTTTAAAAATAAACAGAATATATATGTTTCTTGCAAATTCACACATAGTAACTAAAATTAATGTACAATAGATTATTTTTTAATGTGTCAAATAAAAAATATATTTTTTATCAATTATATAAAATTCTAATATTATATTTTTCTATGCATTTTATAAAACAATACGAACAACGAAATAGAATGCACATGCTACAATGTGTATTATTTATTATTAAAGTTAGTAATATAAGTTTTGTTACATGAAAAGAGTTTATAATTATACAGTTTGCTAAATGAAAATATAAATTTTAGTCGACTACTTACTTAAAAAAATTTCACAGTTTGAAGTTTCACGCGACGAGAATAAATAACAGAATTTTTACGCTGTGAGCTATGAGCTCAACCTAATGTTAATCATTGTCCCTGCATCCTGTGGATCGTCGCAGACCTGCAGTCTTCTTTACTTGAAAAAGGTTCGGTATTTATTACATATATATCCATTATTTCTTTATTTACAGTTCTTTGTATAATTTTCTATATCATAGAACATACATTTATTACAAAAGAACGTATATTTATTACAAAGTCTATCGATTTGCTACATCATCATTGCGAATCGATTAATTGCAGTACGTTTTTGCAAAGTCTCCAATAATCGACAATCTAAGATTAATTACAATAGAATCATCAACGCTTAGATAATCTTTTAATATTAATTTAACTAATTTTTTTCTCGAATTGCAGGAGATTTTGTAAAATCGTTTTTACGCAAGTGCACATGAGTAAGCAATTGATCGAGACTAATTTTTAGCACTGTTCCAATAAATTTTGATAATTTCTCAGAAAAATTGAGTATGATGCATTATAATCTCAAATTCTTAGGATCGGTTGCACCAACGTTACTTTAAGCAAAGTTTAAAACTTTCTCCGTCTCTGTCTCTTTTTCGCTTTAAAACGATACAAAGAGAGAGTTTTAAATTTTGCTTAAAATCAAAGTAACATCGATACAACATCTTAAATGATTTATTATTAACTCTTAATTATGAAAGCTATACTTAAGTTACAATTTCAATAGTACAAAAGTTGTAGCAATATTGTAGCAATATTACTGCGATTTTGCACTGTTGAGGAAAGCATTTTGTTTGAAGTATAGAATGCAAGTCTGAACTCTGCCTTATGACAATTATTAATAAAGAGTTTTTTTTCTATAATTTGTAATCTCATAGTTTCGAGTCCTCAAATAGCCTGTGTCTGCAATTGAGAGTTAATTTCGTATACATGTATGTAGTTGCGATTAACAATCCGGTTAATGTTTCGATCGATTGTAAACTCGTGTCCATATTTTTTCCTAGGAAAGTAAAATAGGAAACCATCAGTATATATCGGCAAATGTATCGGCATTGTGGAACGACAAAGCATTTTTCTCGTGTAAATGTTTCCTCGCTCGGGAAAATTCTCGATCTCGGTGAAGCGGCAGATAAACAATAAATTTCCGCTTAACACGATTAATTGATCAACTCTGTTCGAGGCATCGCTTTGCTGAGATCCATACAATTTCTCTGGATCTCGATCTCGATCGCACAGACCTGAAAATGTGAGCAAAGAAGTAATCGAACAAAAGGACTGATTGTACAATAGACTTTGGAATAATTGAGTAATTATCGTTGTGTCCGGTCTGTCGAGACACCTGAACGCGCGAATATCGAATCAGCGTCAAATACCATTTGCAAGGTAAAAGAGAAAAAGACTGATGGAGTACGAGCCTTGCAGTCGTATTATATTATAATTATAGAAAATGGAATAGATCGCGGAAACACCTCTTTCTTATATTTAATCATCTATTTGTACACCTTGTTTCCGCCTTTTATAGTCCAATCAGATTGCTAGACAATCTGCCGCGCTGAGAAAAGGATATATACTTGCGCAGTGAAAAGAAAAACCGGGTTTTATTCACAAAATAATGAATATTTAAAAATTCAAATTTGTTATACATATCGAGAAATGGAAAAACGTTACGAAAATATTTTATTTCTTTATGCGAGAATATTTTATACTTTTTATGAAGTTTATAATGAAAAATTTAGCAGATTATTTCAATTATTTTAGTAATTAAATCGCAATTTATCTATCGCTGCTGCAGGAAATTACGTCGCAATTGTTTTTTCTTAGGGTGTGTTCAAATTATCAAACTGAAACTCGAGTATTTCGGTAAACATTTATTACGCGGCTCGGCAAAAAATAATGAAAGTTAGTTGAAATGCTCGTGGAGTTTCAGCTCGATAGTCTAAACGCACCCTTATATTCTGATAAATTGAATGAATAAAATGAAGATATATAAAATATTCAAGAGGTTATTAATTACTCAATGCAATCGCTGAAATTGTTACATTCCACGATTATACTCTATTCTCAGCGCTAAATGTTCACCAACGTACGCGTTATACCACACTGTAAACACTGTATATAACGAGCATATACGTTAGCCGAACACGTGTCCTCCTCATATATGTAAGCAGAGTGTCCCGTGTCTTCAGGTACACTTTTATAGCGAGTAGCGATTAAAATTATGCATTATGCAGCTCGAACTACGTAGCAAACGTTCGTATTTATAGCAGATCATTATTTATGACTGCATATGTGTGCCGTGGCGATCCGCGGCCGCCCGTCATAATCAATTGTGTAAATATAAATTGACGATATCAATGTGAAAATTCAGCGTGTGGATTCTTAATCGATCTTATTTCGTCCTTTTGCTAGTTGTCGTGGAGGAGCTCACAGGTATGCGTCATTAATATATGTACATTCAAGTATGTACATTATATATCCGTGTAGTGTCCCTCACATACATGTTCCCTAATCCTGCTGACCGTATCACTTGAATTATTAAGATCGACGATCAGGATGGGCCCACCAATATACTTGCTGCAAAATGACAAAACAAAAACGGTGGGCTCTCCTCTTTGTCATAGCACGTGCATCTCCTCCTATCTATATCTATTGCTTTTAATCATTCTGCAAGAATCATTCTGCTACCCAGCGAATCCTAAATCTCTATCTCATGTTCGTTTATCCTTTCACTCACAAAAGATACAGCGGATGTCATAGCGAAATTTAGATAGCGAAATTTAGATAGCATTTCGCTGTCGCGTGAAAGTTTTTACATTACAAACGTAATAGTAAAACGTTTTGTCACATTAAATCAATTAAACAATAGTTTACTCGAATCGAAATGTTAGTATTATTTTTTCGAATATGGAAAAAATCTAACTAACTTCTTCACAGTTTAAGCTGCTATCTAAATTTCTTCCATATTCTGTGATTTCTTTTTATTCAACTTAATGACTTCTTCAGCAATGCAAAAATTTAAGTGACTAATAAAAAACGTTTATAAAAGATTCAATTTTTCAGACATTTTTTAGAAATTTTCTTTAGAACTTTATTCGCTCTTTCATATTATCTAAACTGATTCTGTTAGTACTCGCTCATTTGCTCGTAGCTTCGACTTCTCTGGAAAATCAAGATCCATCGCTTAATCAGATTTTACAATTATTTTCATAATTCCTCTAATCGAGACCCATCTTTTCGCAGGGATCTCTGAGCAGAGCGTTCGGTCTCCGGCCTAGAAGTGAGAAGGCATCACCGTCATCGTCTTCAGACACCGGGAGCCTCGTTAGCCAATGCCAATACATGAGCAGCAGCGTTCGCAGCAACTCGCCACCACCGCCGCAACTTCCGCCGCGGCCGATGTCAACTGGCAGCGGTAAGCGGCATCGACGAGTGAAAAGCATCGGTGACATCGAGTACATAAGCTCAGCCGCGGTCAGCACCCCGGTCTGACAGGAGGGTAGGCCCCATCACTCGGGGCCTTACCGCAGTCTGAGCGAACGCGGTTACTCCTCTTCCTCGTACTCGTCATCTCAGTACGGCTCGTACTCGGGCTACAGCAATGTCCTGGCGGGCGGGGATCAATACCAGCCGTATCAGCAGCAGTCAGGTGGCAATTACTATCAACAGCTGCAGGGCGGCTATTATTCACCGCAAAGTTCCGGACCCCCTTTCCCAGGTGTGCAGAGATACGGTAGTCTGGCTGAAGAGGCATGGTCGTCGTGCTCCACCAAAGGAGACGTTCCGGTGGGAGTCTCGAAGACTAATCATAGGACTTACTTAGCTTAGCTTTCTGTCGCAACATTGAAGATTTTTTGAGCTGATGTTCATTCAAGATTAACACCACCATGTGCATGACGGTGACAATATTGTATTCTCAAAACTAAAATATGTATTCCTTTTTTAGATTGATTTTATATTTTATCTTCGTTACACGCGAACGATAATTCAGTGATTTATGGCAAAAAAAAATCGCAAAAATATCATGTCACGCGCTTATCGGAGCCAGATGTTGATCAGTGTGATTTTTCATATTTCAAATGTGGCTCGCTATATCAGAAACTGTACCTACATGATTTAAAGAGATTATTATCAACAAAGAATATATTGCTAAATCTAAGATCCCGAGCTTCTGATATACTTCATGTTTTGACATATAAGAATGTTATCGAAAGGTGACCTGATCGGATTTATAATTAATTTGATATAATAAGAGGATTGATGCGATCCCGATAATCATTATCCTTGGATAATCATTATCATTACAGTAAACATGATTACACTTGTTACATAATAACGATAATAGACAATACGTTAGCTGGACAATGGATTACGAAAATACGAACACGTTTCGATCATGTTACGATACAATTATATCTAAAGTTCTAATGAATGAGTAAATGTTGATGTCATTTATTTCAGAGTTATTCTTCATTACAAGGTAATTATACGTCGTACAAATACTAGACAGCATATCGTGATGTTAAGAGGCATAAAAGAATCTGACCAAGTTTTATGAACACATCGAGCTATCAACCGATATACGTATATCCAATAGAAATAAATAAGATGTAAAAGAGTATAATTATAATCACAGGTAAGATTATAAATAAGCAAACTAATAATGAAAATTTTTAGTTCAATCGATGTGTACTACGGTGACAATATCTCACACAAACGATATAATTTTTTATTATTATCATTGCGAACGGCATCTCTTTATCGAGATATAATTATAATTTAAATTGTAAAGTCATTTCTGTATGTAAGTTAACACGGAAGAATTGTATCGTGAATATCATTGAAGAATATTTTAGCTTATGAATCCCTGTGAACGAATGAATGAAGCTTTAACAACATCAGCTTGCTAAAAGATAGAATCGCAACGACGTGCTAATTTTGGTATCCTTCGTGTACGTATACATATAATACGTACGTTTATCTGTATTTTTACGTTATTTTCTATCGATGTGTACGTATGTGTGTGAGTTTCCTACACCATTTAACGGTGGAAACACTTATCAGATAAGCTTGAGGCAACACGTTCACTCCAGCTAAGTGTATTAGATACCGTGAAGCTATAATGAATATTGGACAGAATCGCCTCACGAAGACGCCTAGTCTTCCATTATATATTCCATCATATTCCGCAGCACGGTGAAATTGAATACATTCCGTTCTTCGTTATTCTCGAATCAAAAGGAAGAAATCGGAAAATTCAATTGTTGCTGCGATAAAACCCTTTTCCATTGCATTGACACACGCGAGAGAATTTTCCAAATACCTACCTTCAAGCTGCAGTCTGTATAAAAAGTTTAAAAAGAACTGCTCTCAAGACGATTACGATTATAATTTTTTTATTGCATATTATGGTATAATTAATTAATTATACGACCATCGCGACGCGCATTTCTACAGAAAGGAAACATAAACAAGGCGAGCCACATAATTTAAACTAAGTGCCAGAAAAATTGAGTATTCATTGTAATTTGGCACACTGCCGAAATGTATAACGTTCGGCCCTGCATCATTATATATTAATACATACATTCTCCCCAGTATTTTACACTCGCGCGGTCGCAGAGAAAAAGAAAGACGATATTTTGCAAATAAAATGCACATATTTAACGTGATATTTATTCGTAGATTGTAATTATTTCTTGATATTTATACAACAGCCGCGTGTTCGATCGAACTATTTAATTCTATGTCTATCGGAAAACGATCAGGACCATGATATAATATATTTTATTGCCGGACTAGTATTACCGTCGTTTTGCGAGGCGAAAACGGCGAATTAATACGTTAACTATCGTGACATTCGTATACCTAAGTAATTTATTTATATAAATTAATTTAGGTCTTTAATTTATTTGTATACAATGTTATTGCGCAACGCGGCCAATACCTCGCTTGAACGCGGCAGATCGATATGTTCGCTTATTATATATTGGTCGCAGCATGCGCGATCACACATATTTCGATACAAACCGTTGTAAATGTGCTCAGTAACGTCTGTATATATTTGTGTGTACTGTATCTAAACACAGAAAAGAAATTAAATAAATGATTGCCTTTATTTCTACGCGATAGATCTTTCCGCGAAATAATCATATTATATACATATCATTCAGTATATCTAATATATATTATTATTTTTTTATTTATACAAAATTCATTATATAACATTGCGATGCGAATGAAACATATTCTTTGACAGTATCCTAATATATTTATAATGTAATATATGAACATAATAAACATATAAACAATTCTAATATATAACTATAACTCTCTCAACTCTCGAGTACAGCAAAAGATCATTTAAATCCGTAACAAAAATTTTAGACGGTTCAATCGGTATATGACTGTTACTATAAAGTTCTATATAATAGGTATATAAAAAGACCTTGAACCTTCTTCTATTAATCGCGTCATTTACATTCTGTACAAACAGGATGCTTTAGATTCTTTAGAACTTAGGTGTAATTTTCATAGCTGTAATTGAGGGTTATAAATATAAATATGTGTTTTTTAAAAAAAATTTTATAATTTTTTCAATGTCAAAATATACAAATAAAGTTAAAACATTAATTTAAACATGTCGTTCTCATATTCCGAAATGTGATGTACAATATTTTCCTATGTGATAAAATATTATAATAATATCTCGTAATTTAGATGTTCACCAAGTAGAATTTGAAAAATTTTGCTTTGGAATTATATTTTTTTTTAATATTTATTACTTCTTGTCAATATTTTAAGAATTAATTGGTGCTTTTTAATTGAAAATGTCTAATCAAAATAAATAAATTTTTAATATTTATTGAATAAAGAGAGAGAGAGAGAGAGAGAGAGAGAGAGAGAGAGAGAGAGAGAGAGAGAGAGCAACGTAATATAAAAATTAAATTATAAAACTTACAGTTTTCATTTTTTTAATTTTAGAAGTACTATCCGAAATAACAGCTTTGTCTCAAGATCTTTTTATATTGAAATTATGCTCTTTTGTTACTCGATCTTTACTTGGTGTTATATTAAAATTGATATTTCTGATGACATGAAATAGCGGTGTACTGCGAGGTGTAGACAAATTATTTTTCGAAATTCCACAAGAACTTTTTACAATTTTATTTAGATGTCTTGAACTTCTGTCAAGTGATTTTGTCTCTAAAATCTTATTTGAGAAAATTTTTTTAACAGATTGACTTACTTTCATTGTTATGAGAGGGGTATTCATCCGATTTGAAGCGTTTAATTTCGTATCGACAGAAAATGGTGTCGATGTATGTATATAATTCGTAGATATTTTAGAATATGTTTTATTACGCAATACGTTAGACCTTCTTCCAGAAACATTTACAGCTCTTTTATTACTAATGTGAGGCATAATACATTTATTATTCCTATTTATTATTTCCTGTGATGATTTTTTCTCATTATCTTGAATCTCTCTTATTTTTTTCAGTGAGTTTTGATTTACTGGTGTAGCTTTTTTTTTAATAATTGCCTTTTTCTTAATTCCAGTAGATTTTATAAAAAGTGACTGATCCTCTTGCCAACATTTAGCACGAAGTTTTTCCAATTTTGCAAATCGTGAATCGCAATCCTTTACTTGTAGGTACATCGTGTCCCAAAATCCATGTAAGTCCATACAAGTTACCAATACTTCACAATCTTTTCTCTCGCAATCTAATATTAAATTATAAAATTGTTTAAACTTATGTTTAATTAATATAGTTGTTTGTCCTACTGCTTGATTAATTTGGTAATAAATATCCTCTACATCATCTGTTTGCGATTGAATTTCTATCCATTTTTTGCAAAGTTTTCGAAGTCTATTTTCTTCTTTATATAACAGACGTTTAAAATATATAACATTATATTTCGTTTCTTTTACTGGCACATCAGAATTGTTTGTTGTATCGTCTCTTATTGTAAGTTTTGTATTAAATAGTCCTGACGAATCTGAAAGCTGATAATAAAACTGAAAATTTCTTCGTTTATTTCATTTGATATTATTTATAAATGTATAACAATAAAAAAATTTACATTAATTAAAAAAGAAAATAGCTCGAAAAATCTATTTTTTCCGAAATTTTTAAATATTTATATTATTATAT